GTGTGTGTGTGTGTGTGTGTGTGTGTGTGTGTGTGTGTGTCCTGGCAAAGGCCTGAACTGTGGCAAAAAGTGCCCCAATGTCAAAGGTCACGGTCTTCCTGCCCAGTGTGTCTCCATGGTGACCTGTGGTTCCTGCCCTGCGGAGGTGACGCTGCTGCCACTGAGCTCGACTGATGACAAATTCATTAACTTGGCAGAGTGGAGCCTCCTGCCCAGAGCCAACAGATTAGTCCGTCGCTGTGTTCTTAGCTGTTTCCTGAGCTGCACCTCATTGTGCTGAAGTTCATGTTTGACTTGTCCGTTTGGAACTGAAGTGTCTCGGCTGCTCTCGGGACGGGCCCCCGGCCAGGAGGGGGGCGCCCAGGCGAAAGGGACCTGGGGGCCAAAACCCAAGAAAAACATGATACCGACCATACATTACAAAGTTTAGGCATAAAGTCATGGAGCTTCCTTAGGTGCTTTCAGATCAAGTCTCCTGTACGTAACCAATCATAGACTTTGGGTTCTCACGAAATGATTCTTGCTGTGGATTAATCAGCTGTTCTTGGGGGCCCCTCTCAGCTCAGGGCCCCAGGTAGTTGCCTGCATTGCCTGAACTATTGCAACGCCCCAGTGGACAACACATATCAATACATTGTGGTTCCCAGAGGGGACAGTAAAATCCCGGTCTTCACTTCTCATTATCACTTGAAACAAACATTAGGGGCCTTTTCTTTTTTTGGAGTCGTCCACGAGGTTAAAAACAACCTGAGCAACAGCTGAAGCCTGAAAGGAATCACTGCAGCTGGTTAACATCTGTGTTAATGAGTCTGCCATGCGCACATCAAGGTGCATGACTGTAATGACTTTCCGTGGACCCCATGCAGAGGAAGGCACCGCTCTTAAAAACATTACTGAGGTCTAAAGTTTGCCACAGAGCTTCTTAACACTGCTGGGAAAATGTTTTGTGGACTGATGAAACTAAGGTTGAACGGTTTGCAAAGAAAAGTAAAAATGAGTCCCAGGTTTATCAGGGCGTCGTCTCCTCTCTCTGCAGCCGCTCTGCCCTCGGCCATCCTGACGCTGATGTTCAGCCCGTACCAGAGAGGAATCTACTGCAACGACGAGAGCATCAGCCATCCATACCGCAGAGACACCATTTCCCACGGGGCCATGGCTGCAGTCACCATCACCTGCTCCATCGTCATCGTGAGTCCATGACGATGTGATTTCTCCCAAAGTAAAGCAAAAAACATCAAATCCATGTTTCACCTCAAACGTCTCTGTACTTCCTCTCAGATCACCACAGGAGAGGCGTACCTGGTGCACACCAAACGGCTCCACTCCAACTCCCAGTTCAACCAGTACCTGTCCGCTCTCTACAAGGTGGTGGGCACCTTCCTGTTCGGAGGAGCCGTCAGCCAATCCCTGACCGACCTGGCCAAGTTCACCATCGGTCGCCCCCGTCCAAACTTCCTGGCCGTGTGCGCCCCGGTCAGCTGCAACGGATACCTGCTGCACATCAACTGCACGGGAAACTCCCGCAACGTGACTGAGTCCAGGTGCTTCACTCAAACACTACACGTCCATCAACAGCTGGAGTAGATTTACAAGAACATAGAGATAAACGTTGGTTGGATTTGAATAGTTGAAGTTGTGGTGTGGGAGTAGATTTTGTCAGGTCATGTGTTTCTGCCTCTCAGATCAATTTTCTCTGTTTGACTGTACACGCTAAATGAAATGAACAGGTTTGGGATTTTAATCAATAAAATGTTAAAACTTAATTAAAACAGTAAGATAATACAATTATTTAGGAACAACTCAAGTCTGACTCATTGTAACTAACTATTAAATATCTAGTTCTGATTGTTTTTTCATTGGACTTAGATTTTTTGATTTCTGCATTATTCCTTGAGACGTTGACATAATTTTACAAAATGCCAATCTCACAATGTTAAAGAAAGTGAGGAAAATAATACAAAATATTCTGGATCAACTACTCTTATCGAATCCACTCCAAAAGTTAATGGGTTCTTCTCAAGAAAATCATTTTAGTAGTTTTTAGTAGTAGTAGTAGTAGTAGTAGTAGTAGTATAGTATTAAAAGGTATTATCACTCAATCATAATATTCATTAAAAACATGTGAGTTTGAATTCTCTTCTCTGTTTCCTTTGGTCTCCCTCAGGTTATCGTTCTACTCCGGCCACTCGTCCTTCGGGATGTACTGCATGCTCTTTCTGTCGGTGAGTGATGCCGTCGTTGCGTGAGACATTTCGTGGCTGTGAAACGTGTGTTTACCAAAAACACCCACAAGTGACTCAAAACAGGGGAGGGTGGTCACGGCAGGCACACGACTCCGGTTCTAAAAACATCATTGTTGTAAAGTAACACACGGCACAATGGACGGAAGTCTGCATTTATTAAAGCAACACTGCAGATTCTCAAATTCTTATTTTGCATAATTCGATACTAAAAGCACCGATGGGAATGTCGGGGATAAGAAGTCATCAGATAAGGATAGTTGCTAAATAACAGTTTTCAAGCCAACAGCAGAGATTCGAAAGAAAATGCAAATCAGTAAAAATTGAATCTTAATTCAACCTAATGTTCAACTTAAATCCTGTCCAGTTAGAAATGATGTTTGAACCTAAGGGCATTCATTTGTCGGCTAATGTTTGGGTCAGGATTTGGTTGCTCTTTCATTTTAGTTGCATAAATGTAAAACATGTGGATTTTGTTCAAATATAATTATCTATATAGTGTCAAACATGCAAGTTACAAACACAGAGGTTTGGATTCAGGTTTTGAAATGTTTCATGTCGTGTGTGTGCAGCTCTATGTCCACGCCCGGATGCAGGGGAAGTGGACGCGACTGGTGCGACCGACCATCCAGTTCTTCCTGGTGGCGTTTGCTCTGTATGTGGGATACACGCGTGTTTCGGACCACAAACATCACTGGAGCGACGTGCTGGTGGGGCTGCTGCAGGGGGCGCTCATCGCTGTTCTCACTGTGAGTGTGACCCTGTGTTCGGTCATTGGTATAAAAAAAGATATGAGGAAAACGAGCGTAAAAAAACCCCAAAGTTAAGTTTGACAAAGACGGTATTCATTACAGAACTGAATACTGTGTTGTTTTTACTTCACCCTCATCTGACATTACCTTTTCAATTTATTTCTCCACTCAGGTTCTTTACGTCTCCGACTTCTTCAAGCAGCGACCTCTGCCCTGCACGCCGCCAGACACTGCGGAGATCGAACAGCTCGAGCGCAAGCCGAGCCCACAGCCTCACGACTCGCAGCACGGGAACCACTACAACTACTCCAGACCCGTATGAGCACCTGACTGAACTCACTCACCTGGGCCGGCGCTCTCCAACAGCAGCTTCAGAGAAAAATAACCACAACACACTGCAGTGACCACTAACTGGATGTTCAGACCAGACCTCTCCACTCTGGAACCTCCCAACACGTTCAGATTTCTAAAAACCTGTCGGAATAGAATCTCCATCATCTGCGTGTCTTTATGGAGTATTTTTATGTGTACATGTGATGTACAATGATCAAATATATATATACATTAATATTTTTAGGATTTTTAGGAAGTTTCAGGTTTGTTCGGGGGGAAATTACGCCGTGAGTCTTGAGGGTAAATCGTGCAAAGACTGCAACAAGATTTCAAAAGAAACGCCAACAAAACCATTTTTCTGAGACGAAACCTTGGAGACTGAATGTTTTCTACTTTGTTTCTTTCCTTACACTGGAGCGAGTTTACTTGTCCCTCACTAGTGTCTCTATCTTTTAGAAGGTGTGCATGTGATAACGATGGACTGATTCAGCCATCACACACAGAGTACAGTGTAGTGCTCACGTTTTTATTTTGTTAAGAACTCGTCTAATGAACTGTGTAGCTTTTAAGAATGATTTTATTACCACTACTTTACAGAGGCGTTACTGTGAACCTTTGTTCTGGATGTTTTTCTTCTTTTATAGAAACAACATGATATTAAACTATATTAAAACAACAACCAAGGAGACGTTACTGGAGTGTATTCATCCCGAAACGCACTCGTTTGTCTGCCTTTTCTTTCAGATACAAACTGAAAACACCTTTATGGACCTTTACTTTATATCATGTGTAACCCATTGTGAACCTGCACATACTGTAATCATATCTGTACTTCATCCTGATGTTTGTTATGTGTAGCTTCTCCATAAACACAAGCCAGAACATCATGTGTGTGATTATTCCATCATAAGGGAAGAAAGAAAATGGAAATGAGTGATTTGTGGTGACTGTGAGTGAGAAAGTAACTTTTCATCAAAGTGTTCTCTGCACAACACACACGGTGGCGTGTCGTTTCATGTCTGGACCTGCTGCTGGCGGTTGTGGGATTCCTCAGCAGCGGAGGAATGGAGCTGTTGAGCCACATCAGGCTTTTACAAAAAAAGACAAAACAGCTGTATGTTCTTACGAGGTCGATCACAAAGGTATAATCCTCTCTATGGGGGATTTGTAATACACAATGATGCCAAGACCTTTTAAATCCAAATCCTAAAACCATTTTGTAACTTTGCTCAATGGCTATGACGTCATGCAGATAGTTTCAGTTTTATTCTTCCCAGTTTTGAAATATCTGCCCGAGTTCAGTTTTCACCTCTTCAATCAAATTGCTCATATCAATGACTAAGTCAACCTTTGGTCTCCAGTGTTTCTGGATAGTTGAAGTTGCCAGAGTGAACCTGATGAGTCTTCCAAGTACATTGCAAAATATCAGTGTCAGTGTGTGTGTCAGCCAAGAGGCAGCGAGACATTACAGAACAAAAATGCAAAGTATATCTCGCATTAATTATTAGTACGCTTAGTCTCAGCTTTAAGGACTCTTATCTGAAACGATAATCTGATTTCAGTTACAAATAACGAGTAGCAGAAATCAGTCTAAATTATAATGTGACGTTTATTGTGAGAATCAAAGTTCAGCCCTGAACAGACAGAGCTCAGTTTTTATGTTGGCAAACCTTTAAACTTTAATTTTTTTGCAATTTGGTTGATTGCATGATTTAAAGCAGCTTTAATTGTTGTTTTTCCTTTTTTTTTTGCAATGAGCTACGATCAACACTGACTGTTGTTCCCTCTCCAACTCTTCAGCTGACTGTTGCTTGTTGCTGGACAGGTTGTGTGTAGAGTGATGAGAGAGAACTCAAACTAAACTCTGGAGGTCAAGGTTGTGTGGTGACTCATCCAGAGCTGTTATTAATCTGAAGGGAATCCTTTGTTGTAAATTTTTTTTTGTTACACTGCGATGCCTGTAATCAACTTCACTCCTCAAACCACACATCACCTCACGAAGCTGCGGAGGAGTCGACTCTCACCGAGAACATTTTGATCAGACGCTACATTTCGTGACTCATTGCCTTTTTGTCCTTCGAGCTGCTTCAGTATTTCTCCCACATGCAAACACAGAGGACCACTCGCAATCACATCTTTTATTTGTAAGGCACCAGAGAAGCTTCCTTACTGCTAAAAGGTTGATTCATTCTCATTAAGAGTACACGGTTGCTTGTTTACATTTTTTTTTTTTTGCCCCAGATATTTTCTTAAAATGAGACTGTGTTCATAAACACATTAAACTGGATTTTCTTTGCACCGAAAAAGGAATAAAACATTTACAAACCTAGAAAACAATGTTAAGTGTTACTGCCTACTGAGAGAATGGGAGAGAAAAAACAGGAAAAACGACATGGTATACAACATTGTGCCTCTCTTACTGTAGGCTTGTAATGCACACATACAACACTTAAGTCTTCCATGATACACACGTTAAAAAGCAGCTTTGAAACATACAAAAATGCTTTAAAAAATATGTATATTGATATATTCATATGTATACAAATTGGCCCTTCACAGCAAAAACAAACACACATACCATTCATATGTCTGAGTTTTGCCAAAGGAGGTTTTTTTCTACAGAGACTCGACGGCAGCATAAAGAGCGCAAAGGACAAACTGATGTGTTCTCGCACTCGATATGTTGAAGTCGAAATCTCCAGGGAAGGGAAACCCTGCAGCTCCCCAACACTAGCACAGACAGGAAGGAGGAAAACAAACGAGCACCAAGCCACAGCTTAAGTGCTTTTCAAATTAAAATACACACACAGAGAGAGAGAGAGAGAGATAGAGAGAGAGATTCAAGCGCAGATCCTGGACGTGCTCAGACAAAAAGGTGGGTTGTCAAAGCTCTAGCAAGTGTTCACATTGCGGGGGGGGGTGACATTGAAGACCTGTGGTGAACCGGCGCTCGGCCCAAAGGTCAGAGCGTGAAGACGAGAGCAGAAGAGCGGTGACGATGATGTCAACTCATCACACCGACTTGGACCTCTGCAGATGTTCAGAGCTCAGGCTTGTGAGGGTCTTCACACTAATTCAAGAGCACTGCTGCCCCCTGTTGTCCCATTTCCATACTAAACACTAACAGCAGACAGTGTGCGCTATATACCAACCCTTGCATTATACTGTTTTACAGTCAGAAAACAAGAAATCTGTGCACGTAGAAGTTTTCAGACCATTTCTCCTGAAAGATATGTATAATGTTGTGTACATTTACATACGTATCAAGTGACGGATTTAGTTACGTGAATAGAAAAGGAAAGGTAGCAGCAGAAACACTTCTCTCTTCACCGTGGCACATCTGCTCAATCGTCTGCTCAAAGTGAAATTTGTTTTAATATTGTAGGAGTCTTTAATTAAACAGTAGAAAACAAACCGTGGACGATGACAAATGTTTTCCTATCAAACCACTGTAGGAACGACACGATCCTGCGTAGGATTGAGGTAAACGCTGGGAGCGCTGTTCTAGTTAGACCAGATATCGCCTTACAAAAATATGAATTAAAAAATGATCTGGATAAGAAATGTTGTTGATCTATTATTATTACCTGCATGTATTTCTTGTATATAGACTATGAGAAGAGTATACTGTAAAGATAAGTAGATTGTGTTTACTCTAGAATTGGTATTTATTTAATATGGAGTTGGGACAAAGCATTTGTTTGAAAATCTACTGCTTGTTTTTGTGATCTTAAGGGAACAAGAATTTGGTCACCAGCACAAATTGTGGTTGTAAATAACTTTGTTTTTGAGGGAACGCACGTTTGCTGTTGCTTTCAGAGCTTTAGCGACTCACTCAGGACACATTCTTAATCAAAGTAATGAAAGAACCTAAAGAAAAGAGGAGGATACCCCCTTATAGTCACACAAGGAAGGAAAAGACAGGTGCTTGACACAGTCTCAGTATCAACTGAGGTGCTCTGCTAACTTACAGAACTACAGTCAACACTCGTCTTGTTGGTTTCCATCATCTGCTTCTGAAGTTTAGATCCCGTTCAAGTTTGATTTAAAAGCAGACGAGCAAAAGGGAGAAAGGGCCGACTGACATGGGGGGTGAGGAAAATACAAAAGGTGCTTTAAAAAAAAAGAAAATTAAATTAAACATGTTTTCTTCTTTCCAATCACATTCACTCCAACACACGCAGACAACTCTAGACTAATCATAGCCTGTCTTTAACTTCACGAAAACAACATGTCAAAATAAAGTCAATTCTGTGTAAATTCTTGTCATTTACAGACGAGTCATGGTCCATTACATGTAGCGCGTGTAGCAGCAGCGGCAGCAGCTCGGCCTATTCAACAAATTAACTACCATTTGTACAAACTGTAGGGTTTTTAATGGAATAAAATCCCATTCATCTGGGACTGAGGTACACAGCTAAAGGTAATGCATCCAGTGGTTGGCATTAAAATAATGGATATTTGAAGGGTTTGAAAGCACATGAAGTGAAATGTCCCTTTAAAACATCCCATTTAACATCATCGGCTAAGATTTAATTTGGCTCCGATGCACAATGTCTGTGTGAGAGACTGTTTATAAAGATGGACGACAAGACAGCTCCCCAAAAGTGAAACATCTTGATCACCCCCTGGTGGATGTTAGTGAATAGGACATGGGCTAAACAATACAGTCAAAAAACAGGCAAAATTAAATTCTCTTAAAGATGGGTTCTGTCATTTTAGGTAGTTCTTATCACACTTGTATGTCCAAGTGCTCCTTTTTCCAGTCGGGTTTAATTCGTTATCTGATGCTTAAAAGACGGGGTGAAACATCATGACTGACAGATGACACTGATTTGATTTTGGATGAGTGCGTTTATCGGTGGTAACACAATACACCAAGATCACTACTGCACAGACTCTGGCTCCAAATTACGTTCAAAGTGCAAAATGGTGGCACTCATACCCTGGATATTTCATCCTTAATTTTGTGCAACAGGAGGAAGAGGAGACGTGTCGTCCATGTTTATTTACAGTCTACTGTCCAAACATTTCTGGAGAAAGGTGATATTGAGCTATTGTACGTCATGCAAGAAGAAAAAGGAGTTATAGGGAGCTGAGATGTTAAAACTCCTTACAGTGACTGGCAGACAGGAGCCAGTAAGACACAATCTGAGGGACTTAAAGAAAAAAAAAAAAAAAACATTGAATACAGATCTGATAACAACAAGAAGAAAAATAAACCTGTGAGAGGCAGATCCATGTGTGGGAGACTGCTGTTAGCTTTCAGCCACAGCTCTCTCTCAAGATGGGAAAACATTTATCTTGGTTAAGCCTAACAACAGTGGCTTACACAAAAAAAAGCATTTATTCTAAGTCTAGAAGCCTGAACTGAGTCTATTACCACTAAAGAAGAACTCACACTCTCAACCATTCAGCAGTTTCATTCTCTAACACATCCAAAAGCTTCAACGCCGTCTTTTCTGCTCGTCATCATCCCTGCGGTTTCATCAACACTCAAGACAGGCAGCCAGACTTACATCAATCTCCATTTACAGTTACAGTTTCACCTTTCTTTTCTCGACACTTCACCTCATAACACCCCTCCTCCCTCTCCAAACCTCCTCACTGTGTCGACACTAGTCTGACTTATCCCCATCCTCTCCTCTGGGTGCTCTCTCTGCCGCTTCCCGGGCTTTGTCCTCCTTCACCACCTGGGCCTGGCCATGGGAGTAGTTGGCCAGGATGGACGAGAGGGAGAGCAGGCCGGAGCTGGAGGAGACGGCGGGCAGGGAGGGAGGGGTGAGACCCAGGGGGAGCGGGGTCACAGGCAGGGCCAGGCCCTGGAGCTGGGGCAGATGCTGCACCTGGAGCTGATGCTGAAAAATGATTTAAGTTATTAAATTAAAAAACAGAGTTAAAGTTAATTTCTGAAAGAGGCTTGAGATTCACACACACACGTAAAGTTGTAAGCAAAATAAAACTCACCCGTATGATAGAGTTCATCTCAGGGGGTGTGACCTGCTTTGCTCTCTCTATGGCGCCCATCACCTGCTGCTGATGCTGGAACAAACACACAACATGGTCATACATGTCTCAGTATTATTACAAATTAAAAGAATAAGTAGCTGGGCAGAAATATTGACTCTTATTGTGACACATTTGTGAAGAAGTCCGTGTCATTACCTCCTGTGACAGGTAAGGCAGCACCTGAGCACAGATCCCGTTCAGTCTCTTCACTATTTCAGCCTGCAAAGAAAAATTCATGTAAGAAAATAGATTTGACCTGACATCTACAAAAGCTGAGATCATAGAAGAAAAATACATTACAGGGGAAGATAAATATAAATACCTGTTTGTGCATTTCAATGTTCAGCCCGTAGGACATTTCATAGTACTACAATAAATAGAGTGAGAAAGAGACAAAAGTTATAAAAGAACAAAATGCAAAACAGAAAGAAGAGAATATGTGTATTTCAGTTTGGAGTCATTATATTTAAGATGATGAAATATCAAGATCAGGGCAGTATAGTTAGTAAAGTGTGGAAGTAACTTCAACATGTTTCCACAAAACCAAATAAGACTTATAGACTTTTGCTTATAGTCATGTGTGCTTTCACGCAAACACAGCGGAAGCACGAAAAATGTCACTGGAAACAGGGAACAAAAAACATCAGTGGTAAACACATCCCAAAATATTGTGGGATACATTTCACTTCTAAATAAGCCACATCGCACTGAACGGGGACCATCCCAGACTTACCATGATATAATGACGCTGCATCTCAGACTTTTCAGAGGCCAGTTTATCACACTCCAACTTCAAACTGTTTACAGAGAACATACAGATGCATTAGACGACAGCTAGAATGAAGATATCGAGTGAAATGTCATCAGCTGATTCTATAAGGGAAAGAATGCATGAAAAAAGTCACATTCACCCATTGGTACACAAATTCACATCGCGCTCCTATGCACAGCACTTTCTGGGGTTCAGTGTCTTGCTCAAAGACGCATTGGCAAGCAGACCGAAGGAGGCAGGGATCGAACCACCAACCATATGTTCAGTGGATAACCCGATCTAGCTATCAAACGCATTAGAAGTCTTGTTAAGTACAGACAAGACTTCAAGTGCTCTGTCAAGTGTAACACGTGGAAATTAACATCAGTTAACATGGAGCTCAGACAGAGGGCAAATCCTCACTTCCTATAACAATAGTGTGTGTGTGTGTGTGTGTGTGTGTGTGTGTGTGTGTGTGTGTGTCTGCGTGCCTGTGGTATTGTGCTTGCAGGAACTGGAACTCATCCTTGATGCGGTCACAGGAATCAGAAGTGGTGAACTTGAGAGGTTGACCGGACTGAGAGGACGCCTGAGGAAACAACAAAACAACCAACAGTTTGCGTTTACTCACAAGGATCCCAGCAGACAAATAAAAAATGTAATCTCTCTACTTCTGCTGGTCATCTGATACTTCACTTTGATTACACAGCCTTCCTGCTTCACTAATCCATAACCTGTGCAACAAGAAAGGTATCAGAGAATGGTTCAGTGGTGTGTATGTCTTTGTCCTGCAGGTGAGAGACCAGATGAGTGTGTGTTTGGGTTTGTTTAGAAACAGCAGTTTGACTTCTGGGATTAATCCTTCGAGAGGACAGTTAAAATGAGGGTCAGCCTGAACTCAGCCTCAGTATAAATTGAGATAAAGGAGAAGACGGTGTGTTTGACTTGTGCGGTTCAAACCGGAAAGAACGGTCACCTCACGATTATCCAACAAGCACCGATACCTGTAACAGCTGTCTTTGACAAACTGACATGCAAGAATCCTCTCAAACAAAAAAACTAAAAAAAAATCACTGGGCCATGTGTTGATTGGGGAAATGTGTTTACAGAAGGTGAGATTAAAGTGTGTCCATGCCGAACATATGCGAGAGGCTGCATTAGAAGTCTGGTTATGCAGAGACAACAGTTACATCAGTCCAGAGCTGTAATCCAGCGTTTATCCTGCGCCCTAAAGCCTCATTACTCTCTAAATAAATGGCACGAGGGCAATAGGTTTCCAGTGGGATTACGGGACTGAACAGAAATGATGGAGTCAGTTGGTTACACAGAGGTCACAGCTACAAAAACAGTAAAGGGAAAATCAGAAAATATGAATATGTTAGAGTATGAAAACAGATCTAATTAAATATATGCTGGAGAAACTAAAGTATTTATCAGTTATCAAAATAACTGCAGATGAGTTTTCTTACAACTGACTTATCTTTGAATTATTGCACCTCCAGTTAATTATTGGTGATGATAACAAAAGAACACATGAAGAATCTCTCATTATATAAATTACTGTTTACAAAGGAAAATAAATGATTTCAACATGTTTAGAGGAAACTCGTCTATTGGAAGATCTGACCTCAGAAGGTGGAACAGCAGTCACATGTTAGAAAACAGTGTGTATGTACATTTTGACTTCATCTGTAACCTTTGTGGCCTCATGACAACACTGTAGGAAATGTTTGTTGTGGTACTTCTGTTAAAGGTCTGTGTTGTTTTGAGTACACTTGTAGATTTCTGCTCAGTGAAGTTTTTTCTAAGTTGGTTACAGAAATATCGAACAAGTCGGCAACAGAATATTATTTTCTTAATTGATTAGTCAACTAGTTGTTTATTTGATTTATTATCTGATCAAATCAATGTCAGAAAACGACTTTGCAAATATGGAGATTGACTTTTTCCCATGTTTGATAACACTGTAAACTGAGTATTTGAGTGTTTTTTTTCTGCTGGTCAAAACAAAGGAGATAGATAAAGATGTCTCTTTTGACTCTGTAAATCTATTATCAGCTATTTGCTTGATCATTCTGTTGACATATAAATCATTATTGAAACTAATCGGCAGATTAGTTAATAAAGAAAACCATACTTCGTTGCGACCCTTCGTTGTTTCTTGTTTAAACCAAGTATTAACACTGATTAACATGTAAACTGTGGAAACATGATGCAGCATTGTTCGCACTGGTGATTCACTTAAGGCCCATGTGTAACTTCACACCTCTTTCCTGACTCAGCTAATGTCTCTGAGGCTTTTCGCCACAGAATCCTCAAAGTAATTCATGTGGTTGTAGTTGCTGATGAACTTCCACAGTTCAAATAAAAAAATATTGAATTATTTAATAATTAGGCCTCGAAGAGAAGTCACTGTTCCAACTTTGCTTTCACTAGTAGTTTCTCTGATCTAATTAATAGCTGAACGATGCTAATTGAAATTCTGCCTCATGTTTGCAGCAAGATTTGTAATTAATAATTTAGATCGTTTCATTTCCATCAAGTGTTTCATGAAAGTTAGCTGTCGCCCATTTATTTGCACTGTTACCTCACGAGTCATGTGGTTTAATTAACGATGGTTAAAAAATAATTCAGACGATCAGATCAGAATAACACACAACTCCGTCTCTCAGATTTAACTTCCCCTCGCTGTTCGGAGTGACGCTAGCTAACGCCGAGGCGCTTACACAGGCAAGTTAGCCGCAAGCCTAGCTAGCTAGCTAGCTGTGTTTTCATGTTTAAGCTAACAGCCCTCCTGTGTTGTAACGGTACCGCCGTCGCTAGCAGACGCGGACGGGAGCTCTGCTTATTGTGAGCCGGGCTGACAGCGACCGACCTGCGGCCAGCGCGGCGCTAGGTGTCAGCTGTCGGGGCTGCTAGCTAGCGTTAGCTCAGCCCGCCGCTTCGGCTGCTCCTGTTTCCAACCGGGACAAGTTCAACTCGTCAACTCACCGAGTGCCTCGATTGAGGAAACATCATGTCAGCAGTGTGCGTCGCCTCGTCTCCTTCGCTCGGATCGAAATCACCAGGCTAGCCGGCTAAGCTAACAGGTCCCCAGATAATACTAGACGATCGGAGACGCCGTTCGCACTTTGTACCCAGTCATCGTTTACAATAACGTTAGCTAACGTCAAAGCAGCGGGGGCCGAGCGCCTTCTTCTTCGGGTCTCGACGCTGCCGAACACCGCGGCCTGCGAGGATGAAGACGGGGCTGAGGAGGAGAATAAGAGAGCAGCTGCTCAAAGGGACGTCAGGGTTTTTTTAAGAATAGCGTTAACGTTACGTCTCCCGGGGGAAACACTGGATGTTGACACACGAGCCCCCGACTTTCCTCTGCTGAGCAGAGAAGAGCAGCATCATCCGGAAAACAAACCCAGCCGCGCAGCAGCGTGCGCCCCCGTGCGACACACCGCGGAACTGACTCCCGCTGATGAGTTGAGAGAAAGTGAATTGAACTGCTGAGCTGCAGATCTTATGTTTATATTGTATGCATAATAGATTTCACTGTTTTTATATAGCTTTTATGATACTCAACAAATATTTGAGTCAAGAAAAAAAGTTAATCAAGGGCAAGAGGCTTCCAGTGGGATTATGGGACTGAACAGAAACAACGGAGTTAAGAGGTGGAATCTCCGCAGCCAGAAAGCAAACTGCATCGATTTGCTTTTAAAATTGGCTCGTTGATTAGTTGAGAGAATAGATTGTGAGAATCGATGAGCAGTTGAACTAGTCATTTAGTCAGAAAAAAACCAGAACCACTGCTGGGCTGGAAAAGGGCCTCACTGGTTTCTAATATTTGTGATACAAAATGTTTTTTTGAGTCAAGAATAAATATTTGGACCACTAGTTTCTTTATACCCACAACATTTCTGTGGTTTATTTTCCTTCTTGTGTCCTAATTCTGTGAAGCGGCCATGGGCACCTTGAAAGGATAAACGTCAGTTATGATTATTAATATATTTTTATTATTTTGCATGTGTATGTGTAGTTGACAATTAGCACTTCTTAAGTATAGAAACAGCAAAGATTGCACATTAATAGGGACGCTGCACACACAGAGCTCCCCACCCTTCACAACTACTCTCACTTACAATCAAGAAATATTAAATGTCGCCTCACGCCCTGACCCATTGATCTGATTCTCTAAAATAAAGTGTCTACGTCATGTTTATGAATTCCTACATTAGATTGAGTGCTCCCTCCAATTTCTTATCATTAAATCATCCAAAATAATTACCCCAAGACATCATGAACAAGCCTCATCAGCTCCACCTAGCTGCACGATTTGGAACTCAATATTGTCTAGTGCTAGGAATGCTGGGTGTTACTACTGAATAAGACACTGGTAGAGTTCACTATTAAAGTTTATAATCATCCACTCATGGGCCTCACTGCTTGATTTGTTTACAGCTCTGAGCAGATCTACAGCCATAATATGACATTTATGAGAAGAGAAACATGATCATAACCAACCAAGCGTCCCAGGACGTGGTCATTTGAGGAAGCAGAGACATCTTCCAGAGACTGGAAGACTTTTACAACATACAAAATAAATCATGAAACCCACTCAACGTACACACCATCAGCAAGTATAGGAACAAATTTATTTCAATTTAAAACAGATACCTTGTCATTATGTTTCTCTCTTAGAAGGCGATAATGATCGTAAGTCATGTTCATGTTTGAATGAGGATCAGGCAACAGTGGTTGAAACAAATACATGAAACACATTTAAAAAAAATATGGCAAGAGTTATGTAAATCAATAATCGATAATAACCAACTGATTGAACCCCCTTTATTAAGGGCTCTGCTTCAATGAAAACATCAAAGCCCTCACTTCCAACACAAAATAAACAGCACATGCAATTATAATTACAGTTTCTTAAAAAAAAAAAAAAAAAAGAAAAACAGCAGATTATCTTTTAAATCTTCAATCTTAAATACAGAATAAAGTGTTTTTGTACTTAATCATTTATCCTTTTAGTCTCTGGTGTGTTTTATTTAAAAAGGGGAGACCATCTCGGGGGTGGTCCTTCTGATGATGACCACAGCGTTGGCACTTAAGAGAGAGCCTGGCTCTAGATAAAGAGTGGGGTTGGCACACTCAGTATAATACATAATTTACATTTGGTTTACATACAAAATAAAGAGGAAAGAAAAACTGCATTTTATACAACACTACACAACTGACCTCCAGGTTTCATTGGAGTGAGGGGAAAAAAAATCATGTGGTCCTAAATAATAGTGTTCTGGTAATGTCTTCTTAACGTACACAGAGAGAACAATTTAAAACATACCAAAAAAGGGGGGCGCAAGGTTACGTTTATGAAAATGCACTGACTTCATACTGATGTCCAAAGGATAAGTTTGATTCCACTTAATCCAACAAGCCCCCAGGAGGGGACATCCCACAACTACCGGCCCCCACCAGGTCACAGAGCACGCTTTGAAACCGCGACGGGCCGGGAACGCCATCTGTCGTTATTCAAGGCAATGAGAGGCAATAAATAAGAGAGAATTGTAGTGAAAAACGGACGAGAACGAAAGAGCAAGGAGATTTGACTGCCTTCCCTCTTTCCAGCTCACGTACGGTGAGATAATGTGTTAACAAACACACTGCAACGACGGGCTGCCAACAAACTACCACACCCACACTAAAAAGCCAGTCAGCCCTTCACCATGTGCCAGAGTTGTAGTGTCAAGTTTTAAAAATACAACATCAGTTTTGTCACTATTAAAGTAAGCTGCACTCAACACACAGTAAATCTCAACACAACCATTGATAAATACTTGGGTAATCATACTGGTATAATCGTTCCACTTAAATACTGGCATCAGGGCCCTCTTTATGACAGCTGTCTGAAGGATGGCGGTCTGCTTCCTCCGCAACAAGGTTGTCATTTACAGCAGACAAAATGGCAGTTCGGGATCACACTGGCATTATTTAAAATATGTATTTTAGCCCCATTAACTTAGTGTTCAGACCTCGTGTTAATGAAGGTTTCAAAGATCAGTTTCCTATCTTCCAGGCAGCCTGTGGTTTGTTTCATCACAGAAAGGTTTTTTGTCAGTGTCATAAATTGTAGTGTTTATAATGTCGAAGCAATCTCTGATCTGTGATTTAAGAATACAACAATCCCAATACAGCAGCTCAGAGTGAGGTTCGCAGAGTTTAAACTTTGCATCAGAACTGGGTACCAGCAGATTCTCTGAGATTTTAGAGTTATTGGATCGGTGCATCAGTGGTGAATGTGTTTGTGTTCTGAAAACAAACTCAGGATTTTGGAATTTAAAAGGAAGTTTTTCCTCTTACTTTGATTTCAGGATTGATGCAGTTCTAGGATATGTTTACGTCAACCAATTTGACAAAAGGTTGAAATGGAGAACCACAAACCTTAGTGGCATTTAAAGAAACCAGGAGCTGCCCGGAACATAGGAACTCAAACTATAAACTGTAAAAATAATCAACGACGAAGCTTAGGATTTGCAGTTATAGGGTTAAAATACACCAACACCAGTATGAACATTAAGATTACTTGGCTATCAGGTACAACTTAAATACTTGGGAGGAAAACGCAACACTTGTCCTGGTAGCAGTGTCTTTTAGTGACACGTGTTTCTACACTGCGAGAGGCGTAACAGGTAACAGGGGGGGGGGGGGCAAAGAAAACTGCCTAGTGTCGGTAAACGCTCTCTACACACACACCTTATATTTGCATTAACACCCTGCCTATACTTCTTATAACACATACTGCGAGTAACCTCCATTTATAAAGAAGAAGTGGATGACTTGGTTCACTGTGGTCCTGTACCCCACTCCCCACTGTCTGATGCCTGATGCACTGTGATAGCCCTTAATGACGATGAAGGATAAGTCACCTGTAGAAAAGGTCAAAGACCAAAAAAGTATCTGCACTTCACTGGCACTATCAAAGCAAGCGTCAAAAAACTGGAAATTAACAATGCAAAAAAACTGACAACAGAATTTTTTTTGTGTTAAATTACAAATAGCAAGCATGGACCGCAGGGGTCTTCAATCACTGATTTAAAAAAAAGTCCACCTACGTTCGTACTGTACATTTTTCTATGTATGCATTACAGCGCTGCGTCTATAAACCAGGAGGAAATACGAGTTTCTTGTTTTTTTTGTTGTTTTTTTTAAAAATCGAACAAAAAAAATGTGAGGGCTTCTAAAGAAACCAAATAGTATTACAGATGGATGGAGATGTGATGGCAAGTACAACTGGAAATGTCGCAATAAGAAATAGAAAGCAGAGATAAAGTCCTTACTATACCAGACATTCGTTTTTTACAGCAGTTCAGACTCAAGTAGGCTCCGCCGTGAGAAAAGGAGCACTTCAACATGACAGAATCAAAAGCAGTCAAATTAACAACACCTTCAAACCTGGTCCATAAATTAGATAAATAAAAAAGTCTTTAATTACTCTTAAAATCATCTTGTCACCATACTGTGAAGAATTTTTTTTTCTTTTTTTAAACCAGCCCTAGTTTGTATTACTCTGGAGGCAGAGCTGTTGCAGTAGTGTGGAGTTGTGAGGCTGGTTAGGAGGAACGTCTTTTCTCTGACTATTGCTCCGTGCCGATCGTTTCCTCAGCACCACCCAGCTCTGCGTAGTCCTATTAATCAAGTGAACAAAATCCATAATCACAGTATCAATACTACCATAAATCCATAAGAAAAACTGTGTGCTAACAAAAGAAGTTAAGATTTTTTTTGTTTGTTTGTTTTTTTGCCAAAGATGGTGTACCACAGAGCAATTTTTGTACAGGAGTGTTTTGTGTATATGTATTTACAAACAAATATACACAAACAACATTAGCAGACTTCAGAGTGCGTTTTCTGTGAAAGGATCTTAGCCCCCCCCCCTCCTCTCACCACTCAACAGCACTTTTATAAACAAAGTGACTATACAGTAAAAAAAAAAAAATTTTTAGCAGAGGCACATCCCGATATAATGGATGACTAGGTCACCATCAGGAAGTGTTTCTGATTGGACGGTTGAGTGACGCAAGGTGTGACGTCATCAGTGATGTTACCACATGGATTCTACTCACACACCCAGGGCCCGTTTAAATTACAGCTTCTATTTCGTTGAATAAGCTACTTGCAGCCAGAGCTGCAGATGTGCTCTGTGGAGTGATGCGCACTGATGACATCGCATTACCCTCTATATCCGCCTCCACCAATCAGAGCAGCGCCTGTGTGACGAGCAGGGTCCTCTCACTCGCTGCAGGTGTTTTTGTACTAAGGGGTGGGGGGGGTTGTTGTATATCAGTGCGGAGGTCACATGGAAGATTGTCCATATGAATCCATACAGAAAACATCTGGAGGGAAGCCATGTGATTAACTTAAAATTACAGAAATCTTAAAATGATCCTTATGTCAAGTAAATTTCTGGTTGCGTCTTTTTAAGATGTCTTCGTTTAAACATTTTTTTAATAGATTTTCTCCCCTTTTCTTATCGCCATCCCAAGTAGCCATTATCCATTAAATAGAAGTAGACGTAGCAACAGATCTCTATCATTAAAAACATTTAAAAAATCTCAGCAATGAATAAATTTTGATTAGCTATGTCTTGCCCTCTCATGCTTTTTGTCTTAAGTGTGTTTATATATGCATTTACATCATAATATATATTTCTATTTTTTTCTTTTCAACTGCGATGCTCACTCTGATGGGTACATTCATAGATGCGAGGTGGAGACAGAATCATCAGCCTCATCCCCTTGTGTCCTCACATCCTGTCCGACTCGCTCTGCAGTATCTGTCCTTCAGCGACCAGCCACTGGTCCTCTGGTGTTTTCAGGAGATGCAGTGTTCAATTCCTTCCACGCTGGCAGGAGCTCATAAAGGAGATGACAGAGGATCTGATCTCACACCGCCACCTCACCGTCAACACCGTAGGGCAAAAGAGGTGTGATGCCACTAGTCGCCCAAACACAGCTCCTTGCCAGTCAATGCTGCCCCAAACACAAACGCACACACAGACGCACACACACCAAAGTCCCCTTCAGTCACTGTACAGCCCGTGTAAAGGTTTGTGTGCCAGATGAAATGTGCTAGAGCCAGCAGCCGGGGCCTTATCTGACACACAGAGCAGCTTTGCGAGGAGCGAGGATTCTGACACAACAAGCTGCCAAGTGAAGTAGAAGAGGGTGAGCTTTGGTGAAAGAGCAGGGGCGGCATTTGCAGATGGGAGGATCTGTGAATGTACTGCACTGGGGGAGGAAAGGAGGGGTCCTGTGTGTGTATTTGTGTGCGTGAGTGTGTGTCTGTGTGTGAGTCGGCATGGTGTGTTGTTTGATGCATGTGGAGCTGAGCGCACACTCCGGGAGAGGTGTGCATTTGTGCAATGGGAGAGGAGATGTGCGTCGTACGTGAGCCCTCACACCAGGTTGTACTCTTTGAGGTTGAGCTGTAGGATGGTGTCTTTGACAGCTGCAAACACAAAGCGGATGTTCTCAGTGTCCGTGGCACAAGTGAAGTGGGAGTAGATGATCTTGTCGCTGTCGGGGTTTAAGTCCACAAACATCTTGAGGATGAACTCCCGCGCTGCCTGTGCATCTCTCTGGGGACCTTCAATTTAAAGAGAGTAATATAATAAATAATTATGAACAGGTTCAAAAAAGACGAGAAAGTAGCAAAATAACAGCGACAAATGTGAGTCAGCCACGTTTTATAATTTTTTACTTAAAAAAGGACAGGTGCTCATAACACTTTATGTTCATGCCTCAGTCTGGTTGCTTGGTCTAAACCAGGTGAACAAAATGGAAACATGCACCAGACCCTGTTTGAACCTCACAGGTCATGTGTAAATGCAGCTTAAGTATCACATAGACATTTTTGTAGAGGGGACAAAAGATAGATACTGCAATAACATCAGTGTTTGTCTTGCAAAGACTATGATCAGATCCAACTTCAGACTCATTCAGAGCTAACTAGAAAGTACATACAAAAAGATGCGTCAGATAACTGAACACATGAACACTAACGTATAGATGATCTTACCATCGAACTCGGGGAAGTAGTCCACCAAGTGTGAGTAGGAGATCTTCTCCTCCAGCAGGTCCTTCTTGTTGAGGAAGAGGATGACGGAGGAGTTTTGAAACCAAGGGTAGGTAATGATAGTCCTGAACAGAGCTTTACTCTCCTCCATACGGTTCTGGTGTGTGAGTGTGGGGAGACAGATAATGGTGCAAGACAAGTGTGAGAAAACATGAGCTCTGGCTTTCATCTGTGTAGATATTTACAATTTCACAACACAAAAATATGTATATAATGCTGTATTTCTGTAAAGATACAGCTTTTGTATATAAATTTTTTTCAAAATAATGTTTAATAAGGTTATAACGTTTCTTGCAACCTACCTCATTGTCCGACTCCACCAGGACCTGGTCGTACTCGCTCAGCGCCACAAGAAACATAATGGAGGTGACATTCTCAAAACAGTGAATCCACTTCCTCCTCTCGGACCTCTGACCCCCTACATCCACCATCCTGGTGGTAAGATGAATGTGAAGAGGAGGATAACAAATGAAGAAGCCAGAGGGTAAAAACACATCATCATACAAATCCTGGATTCCCAGTTTATGTAGTGCTCTAGTTACAAAACTTGAGCTTTTAACCCGTCCAATTAAGGTTTTGAATCCATCATCATAGATTTAGTAACATATGAAATCTGCAAGTACTGGTGTGTCTTCCTTAAACATTTTCAGCACATGACCCAAATAAAAATACAATCTTCTATCCTGGGATGCATGAAAGAATATTTTTTCTTGCATGGAAAGAGACGTAAGTGGAACTATCATGTATTTTGGGCCCTCACCATATTTTTAGTCCTATTTTTGAACAATTAACACCTGACAGATTCAAACCCTTAAGAGGATTCATTAAAGTAACAACTTTTTCCCTGAGAAAAAAAACAGTGCAGCTCTCTATATTTAGCAAAAAAAACAAACTACACAAACAACAAATAAACTAGAAACAAATGTGAATTTTTCAATATGCTACAAGTGAGTCATGCAAGTCACTGTGAAAACAAAAGCATCCCACTTAAGACAGATCTAAAATCAGTTTTAAAAGGATAACCACTCAGTTTAAGAAATCTTTGTATTTTCAGTCCGTTAAATGTCAATTCAACACTTCGGAGGAACAGAAAAAAAAACATTCTGGGAAAAATCAAAAACCTGGCTAAGCACAGTGGAAACACCAGTGGCTGTGTGTAGTCAAGAATTCTTAAATTGAGTGGCATAAATCTGGTCAGAGTCAACAACACATCTGATAGATCAGTCTATACTATCCTTTTGATGTGATACAGTGTATGTGTATTTGTGTGTGTGTGAGTGTGTGTGTGTGTGTGTGTGATAAAACACCAAGCAAGAACAACCGTGAAGTTTTGAAATGCACCTGGAGAAGATGAATGAGAAAAAAGCGGGACATAAAAAAAAACAGAAAAGAAGAGATGGAGATGTACACGCACAAAGGAGAGGACAGACACCGGACAGGAGGCAGCATTGAAATGTTAATGAAAGGTACAGGGGGCACCTCTGATGGTGGGATCCTTGTCGTGGTGGGACGCTTCCTGTATCACCTAATGAGAAGCTATGAGCTCAGAAAACTGCAGCTTTAGAGATGGACTAACAAATAACAAAGCAAAAACTCAAATAACAAGTGATTTCATCACACGACAGGCTGGCATCAGCTGAAGCTATTCATGAAGAGCAAATCTGAAACCTTTTCAGGTTTTCTCCTTGATAAGGTCACCCCTCACTCGTCAGGGAGTTTAGGGTCCCAGTTTCATTAAACTTTCATTTGCGACAATTGATTCCGTAAAATCTTATATTCCAGGAACATGCTCCCTTAAAAATCACATAATTTAATGCCCAATAGTAAACTTTTTAATGCCCTGGGATGCTGAGGTGGAAACCTCCAGACCAAGTGCAATGTCATCTTTGAGAAAAGCCGCACAGTTCACGATGCATGGATGCCCCCTGGTGGTGGCCCAGTCCACTGAGGTCCGCAGAGACCCTGGGCCAATATAGGCCCTGCAGGACCTGCTGCCCAAAATAACATTCCTCCACCGCGGAGAGGACGACCTCGTTTCTTTTGCCAGCCAGAGAGGAGAGGAGGAGGTGACCCATTTACAGAGCGGGCACCAGAATGTAGGACTTCATGTTCATTAGGGTGTTGTGTTACGTATAGTATGATTGCTGTTGGTGGCAGGAGGAGGAAGAAAGCGTGAGACTATGAGAAGTCTGTAAAACGCTAAGGACGTCATATTTACGACAGGAGCTTTAAAGAGTAGGAATGGGAAGTAGACACTAAAGATACAGGTTAAAAGTTCATTAATGGGGAGGAAAAAATGATAAGTTGGGCTATGGACGAAAAACACAACAGATCACTTATGAGTTAATGATGTCACCATATAACATGGAGGGACTCAGTCATGTGTGACATCTTTCTACCTGAAAATGATGCTTTGCAAGTCGAAGGGGTACTCTATGATTCCTGTAGTGGGGATGCGCACCCTGAGCACATCCTGCTGCGTGGGAAGATAGCCGCAATCAGCAATACGATCCAGATCGGTAAGATAACTACAGGCAGCCCGGTGGAGAAAAAAGAGAGATAAAGAGAAAAAAAAAAAGACAAGACAGGAAAACAGTTATATAAAGCGTGACAGGCAATTACCACAACCCCCCTGCCATTCCAGGAAGTGTAGATCATTCCTGTTGAGGAAGCGTCACAGAAAAGGCCACATCTCAGAAAAAAGGGGTGTTAGTGAGTGTCACTGCTCGGCCAACACTCTCCATTCATAAACCAAGACTCTCTTTTTAATCAACAATTTGCTGTGAGGTCAAATGGCTTGTGGATTATGTTGGAGACAGTGAAGTGGCAGCAGTGACAGTAAAGTAGCAGTGACTTCAGCAGGAGGAACAGCAGCACCTAGAATCAGATCAAGAAGACTTGGACCAGTGTGATCTCAAAGATAGCAGGAGGACTTGGGCAAAGTTTAAAATCTACTAGATTTCAAACTGTCATCACAGATTTTATTACTGCTTCCTGGAGGATCTTTGACATCACAGTCTCATACTTCTTCATCTTGTATTTGGTGGCTGCTCCCCACACGTTTCAGTGCACAATGTCTGGCCTTAGGTTTTTTTTATCCTGGGGTCAGAACCTCAGCACAGTTCTGGACACAAACCACTGATCTCTAATCAGGTTAACCATTATGGCCCTCAGGCTCATTTATCCAAACATAGCATCATTTGTATTTTCCTTTGTAAGACAGATGGGTCTTTTTAAACTTGTAATTTGGGGTGCATAAAGTTTGGTCATTTCTTTTTAAATCGAGACCATCTTGAAGTGACCACCTCTGATCTTATGTGTTAATATCCTGACAGTCATTAGTGGTTTCTGTCCTCTACCCATGGTGATGCTGCAGTCCTGGTGCCTTGGGGGTACCTGAAGATGACGTTCTCCAGGTCAAATGGGTACTCTATTATACCCGTTGTAGGAACACGGACCCTCAGCACATCCTGCTGGGTGGGAACGTATCCCTCCGCAGTCACACGGTCTATATCACTAAGGTAACTGGAGATATACAAGAACAGTGTGGATAACACTGAAATAAAGACATTAAATGCTTCCACTCATAAACATGCAAACAAATAAATAGTTTAAACCTTTACAAATCACACAAGCACACCTGCATGCATGTAGACCTGGGGTAACATCTAACTGTAGTACTGAGATTTCACAACCAGGGGGCACTATAAAGTGAGTTAAGTACCTTTGGCAACTGCTCCTCCTGTCATAAATCACCACAATGTAATTGTAGCAAACACACAACCACAGAACAGGAGGTTGACACATTTGAGTGCAAATGACTAGGTGGAAAAACAATGGATGAACATATCGGTCATTTTTCTAATCTGTGGTTAGGAGTGTATCCCTGAGTGTTGACATTCAGACAGTAAACACAAGCCTCAAACTTAAATCACAGTAGGTTCATTAAGAAAAGGGGACAAATGGAGAGTTCAGACATTTAACAATAAGCTAAGACATTATTAGAACAGTCTTTGTGTATTTTGCTCAAAGTTGTCAGCAGGAAGATTATTATCAGGTCAAATTACAACACCATGGCTTCAAATTCACATTTACATGGAAACCAATGTTCCAATATTAACCAGATTAAGATAATAATCTGAATAAAACACTGTCACATAAACAGCATTTCCTGATTATCTTAACCCGAATAGGTCCTAGTATGAATAAGCAATGATGGATTTGATTTCAGTTAAGTATTACGATCTTAGTTGCATTATACGTACATCTTCGCATTATAACATCCATGAGAGTTGAAGCTTTTGTTTAATTAGAAAAAAATACTCAATAGTTTACGCTGTAGCATCATGCATTTAAGTATTTCAGGTTGGGTTTTAAAACTGGCAGGAACTTCAAGCGTATAACAGTGTACTTAATGTTGAAGTGAGTCATGATCAAACTGTGCTCTATGAATATGAACCGAATATTCCATTAGCAACTCATGTGTCTTAATCTGAATTAAGTCAATCATCAGATTATTGGTAACCACGTAAACTTAGTCTCTGTTCTGCTTCTTTAATTGGTTGACTGACAGCATGGGGGCCAGGTCAGACCCTCAGGTCCTCTCAGGTATAAGGAACCTCAGTGACACATTATAATACTACAAAATGATCTAGAAAATATATATTGTAACTGAACCATGGTTGGAGATAACCAACAATTTAATGCCAATTTAATAGTGGCTTGTATATTCTTCATAAGACACTGTTAAAGAAAAAGGTGTTGAATGTTGAAATCTGTCAGTCAACTTTGTGCAAACAATAGGCCAATGTGCTGCCCTGCCCAGCATACATTACAAAACCCACAAGGTAATTTTAGACATGTAATTACACACAAAACATACAAATACACACGCACGCATGCACGTGCACGCAGGCACACTCGCGCACACACACACAACCTGCCACCAGCCACAAATCCGAACACACCCTTATTACTCTGAGAATTGTTGTCTTCAAACCCTGCATGCATATGTGGTTGCTACAAACACACATTTGACATCGACTTGCATTCATTTCCTGGAGACTTACTGTAACCCTAACCGTAACTACTACTTTTCTGACCCTAACCTTAACCACTGAGCCATAAAATCTGCTTTTATCCAATTGGGAACACAGCGTTTGTCCCCAATTGACTGATTTTTAGTCTGAAATTTCTTCCCCAAGGTAGCCTGCCACACAAAACACAAATTCACATGTTAATTATTATGTAAAACCTGATTGCTCATCAGCGGTTTGGGAGTAGAGGCATTTGATTTAATCATAAGGATCATTTATCTTTTCTTATTTTTGTAATTTAGATTAGTGAAAGATCTGAATAAAATCAGAGTCAAATTCTGCAACAGCTAATATGTACAATAAAGAATCCAGTAGTTTGTAATTTTCTGTTCCCAAACCAACATCATATACACACAATTATGGGAGCGAACACAGATTGTGTCAGACATTCACACAAATACCATTGTTAAATCCTAGACAGACATCATAACCATTGTCAGACACAACTAAATAAACACACACACACACAGACGTACTATTTAGTAGAGTCAGACAGCTGGTACTCTCTGCGGCGGTCATAGGCCTCCTGGATCCCCGGGTCGGACCAAAGGCTTTTGATAGCTGAAATGTAGGGCTTGTCAAACCCAGCGATCTTCTCAATGTCCACCTCCTTCACAAGCATGGCATTAGACTGGAAATCATATAAGAGGTAAAGACTAAGAGATAGCAACACAAAAAGACAGAAAAGCTTAACACAATCACATTTATTCAATCATATATTTCCAGCTAAAGATATTTTAGATTTCTGTATCTGTAGATAGCTTTTGTTTAGACTTGTTGGCTGTTCCTAACCACCCACTTATTCCAAAGATCACTTCATGTCCACAAAATGATTTTTCCAATGAAAGACCTAAAACATACAGTTGGTCTGGGAAAAATAACAGAGGAAGGGGTTGTAAATTGACACACAGGCTAAAACGAGCAGCAAGATTGACGTTTAGATATATGAAAACATCAGATAATAATTGGGAAGAATGTCTGCCAATGTATGATCTGTGTTTTTAAAAAGAAATGATTCGCAATCCACAAACTAAGATGGTACTCAGTAGAGCACATACCTTCGCCAACGCCCCCCAATAGTCCCTTTACTGTATATTCAATCAAGCTGTAACACATTCTCGCACTCCGATACAGACCCCAGATTTTTTTCATCAAGAGCCATGAAATGTTCCCTGGGAAAATAGTGAAATGTTTTCTGTGGACTGGAACTGAGAATGACAGTAGCATACTGTGGACTTTATTTATGTTGATGTATGGTGCCCACACTGCCGGTAAATAGTTTATTTGAAGTCATTTGAATCCATTAAAAATCATGCCTTGGTTCAAATTCTTAAACATTTTATCTGGAGAGTTTGGATGTATTTATGTCCTGGAGCTTCCTGAAAAATGTCTATCTGATTGTGCAGTTAGCCTGTTAGTGCAGTGTAGTAAATTCAGTAATCACATTTAAAATGATCAAAGAGGACTGTAGATTGATCGGATGTAGAACTTGTTTCCTGCTCTCAGACCTTACCCGATTCTGTTCATATTTGTACGGGATTTTGAGGGTCTCTGTGGCACGGATCATGGCCTGCATGGAGGTGAAGACGTTTTGGTAAACAAGCCGGATGAAGCCCCTCTTATCTTCGTCTGAGTATCCGGCTCCATGGATGATCCTCATCTGCTTGATGAAGGTGCTCTTGCCACTTTCTCCCGTACCTGAACACAACATGGAACACAAGAGTTAGCGACCAAGACGAGAGAGAGGCACGTAAGATCTGGTCTGTCATCACGTCCAGAATACTGAGAGAACGTTAGAAAGAGTAGTGAGAGACGCTGAGATAAGATACTCTTCAAAGAATGAGATAGCAATCAGGATGGGCCTGTAAAGAAAAGTGGCATTCCTCATAAACTTGCAGAATCCATTCCCTGAAGCCAGTTTCAATACATTACAAAGGTCTTTACACTGAAGTAATCAGAGTCAAGGATAACGCTGCTGTCAGCTTAAGACAATGGTTGGTCAACTTAATATCATACCTGCAGGGGGAAAAGAATCTGCAAAAAAGAACTAAATCGTCCACAGTGCACTTCATCTGGTTGCCTAATTAGCCTAGATGAATTATAAATGAACATGAAAGGCTAGTATTTACAGGATTTTAAATAATTTCAACTTATTATTAGTCCAAACATATAGAATTATACCAACTAAACACAAAGTATCTGAGGAATAAAAGCAAATAAAGAAAATATTCTTGCGTCCAGTAAACAGACTTTCTTGAGGCAGCCTATTGACAGTACTGTTTATGTAGCATCTTCATCAAGAGATTATAAAGACCCCAGAAACCATTTTAACAAAAAATTTAACACAACTTATTCAGTGGAAACATGTTTGAAGGCCTGCTGCATCAAACTGCTTTCATTTTCCACCATGGACCTAAAATGGAGCACTGCGTAGAGCTAGACTGATTGGTAGTCTGATAAAAATCAGGGGGATATAAGCCTTTCACAGACATATTAGGGTCGGCTTATCACATGCAGGGATATGAAAACTATATCAGGGTTGGAAATATCTTACTACCTAATATTGGTACCGTTACCTGTACCCGAAAGTCTATACTTCTACGAATATTGAGAATTAAAATGATGTGATAGAAAAAGTATCTTTATTACCAAACCCTACAAGGGGCTAGTCCATGTCCCCTCATTTTGAATTCAGGCTTTGCATTTGTGCCAAAACGACTAAAAGCCAAATCTGGCCAAGACAGATGCTCCATGAAAGGCAAAAACTTTGATGCCAGTTGAAGAGATCCAAGAACATGCTGCATCTATCTGATGTTTAATCTGTGTTCATTAATTTCTGTTTATCAATAAGCGCAGTAAATCAGCACAACCTGTTACAGATGAAGCCAAAGTAATGGCCTAATGCTTCTCTCAAAACTTGATTAATGTCAGATGCCTATTTAAGTCAGTTTCACACGTTATGAAATCCCTCCGCTGAGATTCCAAGTTGATTAACTAAACTGGTTACGACTGCTAATATGTGAAAGCTTCTTTGTGCGATGTCAGGATGTTATCGCACAATTTGAAAAGTGAAAGAATCAGAAATATTTTCAAGAAGGTCAAAGAAGAGAGACAAGTGGGGGTGGGGGGTACAGGCTAATTTAATGAGGAGGATTTAGACAACTCGTCCAACATTAACATTAAAATGTCTCTGCCAAAAGGTGACAACAGGGGTTGTTGTCAAAAGGCTGCATTCCTTCAGTGATCCTCCTCTGCTGTCCTGAGTCTGTATCTGGATGTAAGATCACATAATAACCCAAGAGGTGTCAGGTTTCCACATTTACTCATATGCTTAAGCCCAAGATATAAATGGATTATAATGCACAGTCAAAACAGTTTCAATCTCTGAATTCAGTAAAACGCAAGGTTTTCAATTGTTTTACAAGATCGACAGTGATTGCCAAATAACCCCCCACTTGCTGAGGGGGGGTCTGTAGGGCCTAACCCACATTTCACACAAGTCCTCTGTTGTATGATTTTTGTACATGCCTAGAAACGCCACCCTCAGGCAGTCCAACAAAAAAAAAAAAAAGAAGCTGATGGCATCTCAGTCCTCAGTGAAATCAAAAGGCTACAGCACATCCATGATATCTGTAAAACTGAAAGGAAAAGACGAGGAAGAAAAAAAAAACACACTCATCGCACCACCACCTACATTCAAGGTTTTTGAAGAGCAGCCATATTTCCGTTACTATGGCAACCCCATCCTGTCTCCCTCTCTTTTTCGTTCCCGTGTTTTTTTTTTTTTCTCCTTCTGTTTTTTTATTCTTTTTAAACCCCTCCTACCCGCCCCTTCTCTCTACTCTCTTTGGAAGCAGACAGTAAATATAACTATGAGGCCCTCAGGCTTGCTCTGTGCTCTTCATCTTTTGCTGCACCACATAGAAGAAGGGCCTCGGCTCGGGGAGGGGGGGCTGGTCTGAGGTCAGTACCAGGGGGTACCTAACACCGAGGACAGTAAGAGCAGTTGGCAGAGGTAGCCGCTTCTCTGCTGATGCATGAAGAAATACCTTAATCCCAGAATCAGAATTTGGATTTCAGCACTGTGTCTATAAGGGGAAGATGGCCCTCCTCCATCTTCTCTTCTCACAAAATGTCCAATTTTGGAGAACAGGAGCATGTTAAGACTAAGTATAAAGGTCATCAGAAATTCTCCAGGATGAATCAACGCATTGCAGTGAATGTTGCACTCTGGTGACTCCTAGGTAGTCGTTGAATTAGAAGTACGATTATCTGACTAACAAAAGGAGAGAATTAAAGATAGTGTATCCTTTGTACTGGGCTGCGGTGGTAGTTTCCTGGTGGTGACTGCAGACTGTTACAGCAAAGAAGCAAGAGGATCTCTCTCAACTTTATGTCTGATTTATTTCGCGTGACCCCCGTCACAAGATCTCCCTTCACTATGCTCTCTTAACTGTCGTGTCCCTCTTTCACCAGACAACACACTGTGAGCCTCTGTCTTCCCTTTTTCCTCCAGATTGTACCAGCGCCAGCCACAACCGTTTCCATGCCCTCACCAGCTCTCCCCGTCGGATACACGCTCATCCAACCCCCCACCCCCTCCTAGCCTCACAACCCCCTCCTAGCCTCCCTCAGGCTAGATTTATGCCCCTCCATTCTCATCCCTCTCTGTCAAGAATTTTGGATATTCATAACTAGAATCCATCCATTCTTTTTTGGTAACGACCTAGAAAAAGGAGGTCACCTTTTAATAGCTCACACACTACTTGGGTCTGATAACACTTTTTGTTCTAGGTAGCTATGAATGTGTGTGAGAAAGAGAAAAAGAAAGAGCTCAGAATTATGGCCCAATGCAACAGTGCAAGGTACACTAGACAGCCCACACACCAGCACTGGTCTTTTGTGGAGCCGATGTGTTTCTTGGAACAGCGTTAGAAGTCTGAATCAAGAGAAACCTGACGATGATGAGCATAAAATTAAAACCTGGCATGAATAGCCAAATTTAGACAAGCCAGAGCAACGAAAACAGTATGTAAATAGCAACAGCTATCGGTCATGTAAAGACACCAAACACTTCACCTGTATCCTCCGTTGCCAGGCTAGCTTTCATAAGCCTTTTACATAACGCAACTGATGTCAGCTCATGACACAACACCTGATGGACTTGACACACCGCTGTCTTAGTGCGGCAGATTTAATTGAGCACAGGTTGCAGCGGCGTCACCTTTATCTGGCCATATCCCCATGTGTGTGCATGTACTTATATCTGGGTAAGGACCAGTTTGAGGTGTGAAGAGGACGCTTTGGGAAATCAAGGACATTTTGGCCAGCTCTAAATTCCTGACAGTTGATGTTAAGGTTAGAATCAGGTCAGGGTAAGGAATAGACATTTTGAGGGTATCTGCCAGTTTCAAATAAAAACATTTTAATGTGATATTTAAAGTAATAAATTTCAGATTATTCCATTTTAGACCCTTTCAAAATCCAGTGGAAACACTGATTTAGTTATGATGCTTGCGGTTAGGGTAAGGAACTGGGTATTATTACGTGTGTGAGTTTTCTCACTAGGAAGTATAGTGTCTCTAGGGCCTGCTTTGTTTACACGGTCCGCTCATATCTTACAATTCTTCTGTCATGCTTAACATGCAGGCATGGCAGGCCACTGGGGGCCTCGTGCAAAAGCAGAGCCGTCCCTGTTAAACCCGCTCTGTGACACTCACTTCTGCGACGTCGGCCACAACTTTCGATGAACAGGAGAAGCAGATTATCAGCATCATGATAAATCTTGGGGCTGGGCAATTAACCTTTTTTTCATTAATCATAATCGAGATAAGAGTTTGAAATAATCGTATTGATTTGAAGTAATATCACCCACCTGAAATAAAACTGAATGCAACTTTACACACCTCCGGGTTTATGAACTGTCCTTTCAGGCAAGGGGTATAAAAATCTAATCTCAGCAGAGAGGGAACATTTGCATGGACATAGCAGAGGACAGTGATATTATCAAAACCTCCAAATTTGCATCATATAGTTGTCTGCCTTGCCCTTGAAAGATACTACATGAATCAGACAGTCACAAGGCAAATTGCAATCAAGCGTGGGTCTCACTCTCACAAAATTTCTCTTTGGAAACTGGCCTCTTTCAGACATGCAAAGGGATTGAGCCAAGACAGCCTAGAGCTAGACAACACTCACACCAGCTGCCTAACCAACTGTGGACACGCATGGATCCTGTGGTCAACCTTAAGGCATGGATGTTACCTCCACTGTGATGGCCCATTTCTTCCTCTTTTCCTCCATTGACCTGGGCCATGCAGACAGTACAGGACTCCAGCAAACACAAAGACCAAAAACTAAACAGGACCATTCTACTCCCATTTCTGTTGCAGCTTTCCAACATGTGCCGCTTGTTGTCAGGTTCAGGGCATGACACTGCTGCCTTGTGCTGATGCCTCTGCATCTGCTGAGTGCTCTGGTGCGTGGGCTTCAGAGCTGTAAATTGGCCATACATGCTATAGCATGCACTGCACATAAAAACACACACTCAACTCACACATTCATTTGACCAACTTAGGACAGCTTTGTCTGTTCACCCCGAGTGCTGTTCTCGTCGAGTGGGTGTGGGTGAGCAAAAAAAAAATCTTTACAAAAGATTTGAAGCGAGCAGCAGTATTTTAGTCTGCAACACGCACTGT